ACAATGATAATCTCTCAGCACCGGTTACTGAATGGGAGATTAAATTGGCTTTCTTTGCGATGTATCCAGAGAAAGCTCCAGGGCCTGATGGAATGACTGCGCTTTTTTAGCAGAAATTTTGGGATATTGTAAAAGAGGATTTAACTCTTATGATTAATCAATTCCTGCTTGACGGCACGATACCCACTGGTTTAAATGAAGCCAACATATGTCTTATTCCGAAAGTAGATAAGCCGAATCAAATGAGTCAACTACGCCCTATCAGATTATGTAATGTTAGCTATAACATAATCTCTAAGGTCCTATGCCAGAGGTTTAAAAAAGTTCTACCCGATAGAATCTCAGAGACCCAGTCAACCTTTGTTGCGGGGAGGCAGATATATGATAACATTATGATTGCTCAAGAGATGTTCCACGCTCTAAGAACAAAACGCAGTGGACGTAATAAGAGGATGGCAATTAAAACGGACATGAGCAAGGCGTATGATAGAATGGAGTGGTCCTTCATTGAGGCTACCATGAGGAAGATGGATTTTTCGGAAATCTGGATAACCTGGATAATGCGCTGTATAACACCAGTAAAGTATAAGGTGCTTATGAATGGTCAGCCAAGAGGGAATATAGTTCCTGAGAGAGGTCTAAGACAGGGGGATCCTCTGTCCCCTTTCATTTTTATTCTGTGCACGGAAGCGCTTGTTAGCCTTCTAAATCACACGGAGAATCAGGGGAATATAACGGGGATGCGCATCACACGTGTGTGTCCTTCGGTATCTCACCTTCTCTTTGCTGATGATAGCCTGTTCTTTTGTAAGACGGAGCACCGTGAATGTGAAGAAGTAATGAAAGTGTTCAGAAAGTATGGACAAGCCTCTGGACAGTGTATTAACTTTGAAAAATCTTCCTTACTCTTTCGTAAGAGGATTGGACAGGAGGTTAGACAGGAAATTAAGGACACCCTTGGGATCCAGAATGAAGGGGGGATGGGAACTTGTCTAGGAATTCCAGAGGATATCAGTGGATCCAAATGCAAGTTTTTTGCATTCTTAAAGGATAAGCTAAGGAATAGAGTTAATGGATGGACAAGTAGGTGGTTATCAAAAGGTGGAAAGGAAGTTATGATCAAGTCGATCCTACTAGCACTGCCAACTTATGTTATGTCCTGCTTTCTACTGCCATTAGAGATATGTGATGCCTTAGCTAGTGCCATTGTACATTTCTGGTGGAGCTCAAATCCCCCAAAGAAAGGCATACATTGGTCAACATGGGATAAATTATGTTTACCCAAAGAAGAGGGTGGGATTGGGTTCAAGATGCTTCATGAATTTAACCTGGCATGGCTAGCAAAGCAGTTATGGAGACTCGTTCAATATCTAGACTCTCTGGTTGCTCGTGTCTTGAGAGGAAAATATTATCGATTAAGCACGCCGTTGCGTCAGACTACTGCCAGTAATCCATCATACGTGTGGAAAAGTATATCAGCGGCACGAGAACTTCTTCTACTGGGAGTTAGACAAAAGATCCATTCGGATTATGAGGTGAAAGTATGGGAGGATCCCTGGATCCCTTCTACACCAGCGAGACTGGCATCCCCATCTGCACCGATGTTGCATCCAAATATGCGAGTAAGCGACCTTATTAATCAAGAAACAAAGACTTGGGATGCGACCAGGCTGGAGCACTACGTAAATGTTGCTGAAATACCTCTCATAAAGAGTATGTAAATTAGCTCTACACTCGCAGAGACACGTATTGTTGGAGCTATACAAGGAATGGCCAATATATAGTCAAATCTGGATATTGGGTTGCACGAAATATTCTAAAGTAGGAAGAGATAGTTGTAGTTAGTGAACCTAGTATCACTAAACTCCAAGCACACGCTTGGAAGGTGCGGGCTCCCCAAAAGATGTGCCATCTTATGTGGCAATTAGTAACAGGTCATGTGGCTGTTACTAGTACCTTAAACTATCGACATATAAGGTGTCACAATTACTGTCCACGATGTGGGGAACCCGAAGAATCAATTATGCATGCCATTTTCCTGTGTCCACCTGCAAAGCAAGTTTGGGCATTATCGTTGGTTCCCACTAGTCCTACACTGTTTCCACTTCAGAGCACATACGCGAATATGGACTACCTTTTCTAGAGGAAAACTGCCATAGCAGAAACAAATTTAGACATGGATCCTTATCCTTGACTAATATGGTATATTTGGACGGCTCGAAATAATAAATTGTTCAGAGGGATTGATAGAGATCCATTGGAACTAACTCGCTATGCAGAGAGTGAATGTCAAGCCTGGTTCCAAGCTAATGGACATGTTTCCGTGTCATCTCAAGAAAATATGGATGCCGACAGCCAGGCTATAAGCATGGGGAATATCTGTATGGTGGATGGCTATTGGACCTCTACAGCTCAGTTCAATGGATTTGGATGGGTATGGAATGATAGTATGGGGAATGGTCAGTTGATGGGTTTGCGTAATTTGGATAGAATGGAGTCTGCTTTGCACTCTGAACTGGAAGCACTGCGGTGGGCAATGGAGAACATGCTTCAACATTCGCCATGTCAGAATTTTGGGACGGACTGCAAGGAAATGATATCAATGCTCAAGAATCCACAGGACTGGCCAAGCTTCTCAGCGGAATTGGAAAAGCTTATGATGCTGAGGATTTGCTTCCCAGATTTTAAGATTTTCTATGTCCTAAGACACATAACGGATTTTCTGATTCCCTAGCTAAGACTGCTTGATCCTTCTATCGAGAATTGTTGTATGTTGGTTGTTTTATTCTGGTCTAGATTCCCAGACCATCTCAAACTTGAGTAATAGATCAGCTGTTCGCTGTAAAAAAAAAACAATACATACAATGATACATAGATTTACGTATATAAGATACAAAATTTTATATAATAGTAAATAATTGTTCTTTAGTGATTTTAAATGAAAAACAATGCTGTCTCTGTTTATGAAAGAGAGATTTTTAACGTTTTTCTAACAAACTACAAAACAATAATCGAAATGTATTATGTTTTTAATAATTACAACTGTTTAACCGATAATGTTTCAAATAAATGAAGGTATTTAAAATATTCATGTATATTACAATTAATATTAACCTTAAAATAAGTATGAATTACAATAGATTTCAAAGTGAAACTATCTGTGAAATAGAAAATATTTAAATGACACTATTATAAATCAAAGGGAGTAATATTTTAAAGTGGTCAATTTCTTAAGTAAAATAATTAGCTTTTTATCTATTAAAATAAAAAAATTATCTTATTATATTTCTTATATAATAATTAGAATACATTTGTAGAAACTATTGTTAAATATTTTAAAATTAATGGAAATTAATAAACAAAAACAGTACTACATCCACTTAAAAAGTAAGCAAAATTCATTACAAATAAAAAGAACAAACAACTCCAACCTCTTTTTTATCTTTATTATTTTGGTCGTTTTACTATAGTGATTTGTCCGTTTTTAAATATAACACGAATAAAAAATTATATTTTATTGAAATAACAAAACAGAAAATAATATGAAAATAAATTTTTTGTATAATATGACATTCACAAATAGTTTAAAATATAGTTTTGACAAATTTAAAATTGAAAAACTGCGCCTAGCACAGTAATTGACCTAGTATGTTTAATACTTTAATAATATAATTCAATCCGTCTTATTCTAGTACAAAAATGGATCACACATTACGAGCGGAAATAGAAAGATACAACACACTCCTAGAAACCAGGAAACGTATTTTCTCTATTAAAATAGAAGCCATAATGTCTTTAGTGTGTGATTTTTTATTTATTTTGACCATCCTTTAGAAAATTTTATTAATATTAATAATATATATAAATTTGAACAACTTTAATTATAATATGTTTTGATATTTTTTTATTTTAAATATTAATATTAACTCTAACAAATCTGTTTCAAAATATTTTAACAATTTGTTTTTAATTATATGTAAATATTTTCACTAATTACCTCATTAGCTTATATATATATATTTATTTATTTAAAAATTCTAACCAATATTTTGAAAAATAATTTAACAATATCTTAATTTCCAAAAGTTTTGTAAATAATTTCACTAATTTCATAATTAACAATGAACTATTATTATGCATTAATATATTTAGCTATTTTTTATAAATAAAAAATAAAATTTTGATCATATTTTTATCTATTATGTAATCATAATAAATCATATAAAATAATATTTATGTTAAAAAAATATAATAAACGTAATTGAGATAAATCTGATAAAATTATGTTAAACTGATAAATTTTATATATTTATTTTCATAAGTATAAAGTTTTGTTGTTAAAAAATATAATACGTTAGTAAGACGGACTAACATTAGCAAAATATATAATACATATATAAAACTTAACATATCTTAGAATTTTGCATATACAATAATATATTATTTGAAAGAAATAAATGTAATAAATTTCTACAAGGAAACCCAGTTTTGAAAGATGGGTCTGAACATAAATTGAATACAAATAAATTTTAAATATGTTTTTATGCATATATTAATAAATAAATATGAATACAATAAGATAAATATATACTAAGAATCGATAAATACATGTAATGTTTAAACAACATAACAAAGTTATATAAACATACCATTTAAACTAAAATTATTTTATTTGAAATAATTTATAAACATTTAAATATCTGATTTAAATGTATACTACTAATATAATAAAGTAAATATTTATGTATATAGAATTAAAAACAAAGACCGGTGCGGTTGTACGAGTTAGAATCTAGTTTTTATTTTTTTGCCAAACAATCTTTGAAACCTGTAAACGTTTTTCTCATTTTTTCTATTTTTATGGTTGTCCGAGATGAATCGGCTGGGCCGATGAAGCCCATATAAAGACGGACGCGTCGTCAAAAGTAATGCATTCCAAGTTGTCTATAAACAGAAATTGTGAGGGTAAGAGAAAGCAATGAAGCATAACCCTAATTCTCATGAACGTCTTAAACCAAGAGATACACCCCAAATCCTGGCCCGAGCTCCCTCTTGATCTCTTGATTTCTGTTTTCAAACGCCTCAGCTTTGCTAATTTCCAACGGGCGAAATCGGTATGTTCGTCTTGGCATTCTGCTTCCAAACAATGTATACCCAAAAACCAGATCCATTGGCTGGTTCTCTTCCCAGAAGAAAATAACAACAACGATAACTATTCGTGCACGTTGTTCAATCTCGAGGAAAAAGATAAACTTTACAGAACAAAAGATCTTTCTCTGGAATTTGCAAAGAGTTCTTGTATAGAGACCTACAGAAGCTGGCTCTTGATGCGCAATCGTATGCATAATCTCTACATTGTGAATCTCTTTACCCATGAGAGGAACGATCTACCTACCGTGGAGGCACAGCATGGAGTGACAAAGATGGAGCGAACCTTAGATGATGATGTGTTTCGCATTACGAGTCACAACGGAAAGGAGTACAAAGGTATTCGTCTACGATCTCCCGTGCTTTGGATTGATGAGAAAACCAGAGAATATGTTGTGTTATGGGAACTGCACGCATTGTGCGTAGTTTATTCGAGAAAAGGAGATACCTCTTGGAATCAACTTCCTGATACCTCAAGATGCTGTGACATGGTTTACAGCGACTCCAAGCTTTACTTCTTAAGCTTATCTGGTCAGTTCAGAATCTTTGATTTCTCTGGAGAATTTCCAAAACAAACCTTTCAGTGTGGGGTTATTGTGGAAATATTTCGGTTAGGTCTCCAACTTCGTCAACCAAGTAATTCCTGGAGCATTGTTGCTACCAAACTTGTAGTCACTGTAACAGGAGAAGTCCTCAAGGTTGAAAAATGGTGGAAATCGAGGTCTAAAACCTGGTCCTTCCGGATTTTCAAGGTCTGTTCATCAGGATTCCTGAAGAAACGTGATCGGATTAATTCTTTGGGCGACGAGTCAATACTTTTGGATCAAGGCATCACAGTTCTCGCGAATGACACTGATGGGTTCATTAAAAATTCGGTCTATTTCAGTGTTAGTGTTGCAAAGGACGTACATGACATCTTTCTTTTTAATCTCGAGACACAGAAAACAGAGCCGCTGCACAGATTTGATTGTTCTTCAGTTCAGTTCTCTAGAGCTCGATGGTTCTTACCAAGTTTTTAAGCAAACATGATTGATATTAACTATTGCATGTTCTACTCTTCAGTAATATGTTTTGATCAATCTTTTGTTAACTTTGTTTAGTGATGATCTCAACTATATTTCTTACCAACGAATCTCCCAAAATATTTCAGGCTACAACTCTATTTGGTTCTGCAAAGTTGTTATCACAAGAAACCAACTAGTTGACTTTGGCGCTTTGTTTTGTTTACAAAATAACATCCCTTGAGTTGCTATGTCCCAGCCCTAATCTTCACCAAACCAAGGAAAGGCTGAAACCATGATTTCTACAAAGTGACCCTTCCTTCGAAAACAAATATAGCCTCAGCGTTCTTTTTTTGTTTTGTTTTGCCAAAGTCAGGCTAGATTGCTGTTGTCAAGTTCATCGCTCCTCCTAATTGAATTCCTTTAGCAACAGCTAAACTATTTCTCATGTGCTATTCGGAAGTCATTCCACTGCAGGTTAATGCATTAGCTTATATGTCATGCGTCCTTAGAATGGCTTCCCATTGATGTAAATTTTGGCCATCGTCTATTTGATGAAAACAACAAATCATTGGGTTTTCCAAATAGTATTGACGAACATAAATATTGGGAACTCCAAGAATGAAGTCTGTCAAGAATCCTATCAGAGTATGATGGTTTTTCGTGTATTCACTTTCGTTGATCCACCAAAGTATATATACATACGGTAGTCCTAATTCATAGGATCTAGATAAATATAGACAGAGATATATTCGTATATTAAAATTCCGCAACTATTTACGTCCTAAAGCCTATATTGAAATGTCAACTAGTTGAGTATCTGTAAAAACGTGTTTGGATGGTAACAACGGAGCCGTTCGTATCTCATCGAGTACAAAATGAAATCCATTGTCAATATGCTTATACGCTCGCTAAAGACTAGATTAGCCGCTAGATAGATAACATATTAAAATATGTTTTACTTTGTGAACAGTAACACAAAAGAGTAGTATATTAAATATTTATTTGTAATTTAACTTTGCCAAGTTTGTTTGGTTTCAAATATAAAGTTTATTAGGTGTTTTTCTACACCATGTGTAGTGGTAAACTTTTGAAAAGTTAAACTATATTTAAAATAAAATTTGTTAACATTGTATATTTTATTATTTTGATTAATATTTAATATTAATTTGATTTAATTCAGCTCAAATTACAAAAAATGTTTATTTAATAATATATTTAAAAAGTTAAATATATTTAATAATATATTTTAAAAACTGTTTATTTAATAATATATTTTAAAAGGTAAACTTTTGAAAAGTTAAATTATATTTAAAATTCGAATCTTAAGATTTTTTTTATCTATCTATTTTGGTTAAATGTATCAAATCAACATATAAAATTACTAAGAAAATTGATATAAAAATTGTATAGTTATTAAAGGTGTAGGCGATCTTAAGGCAAGTAGTTGTTCCAATCACCCTCAAGGAAATGTAATGATTACAAATGAAGATAAAATACCAATAAAAGATGTAGGAGATCTTAGATTGTTTGATAAAGAATCTAAAGCCTTTTATATGCCTAGTTTTACTTCAAATTTATTATCTGTGAAAAAGGCAACCACTGTTTGAATTGCAAATATTTGTTTTTTAGTCCTAACGATGTGCACTTTCAGGATATAAGACCAGTAGATTACTTGGGAAAGGAGTATTCAAAGATGGCTTGTATACACTTGATGACATCAAGCAAACTTCTTATCTTTCCTCTTCTTCTAGTTATGTTTCCGATATGGCTAATAATGCAATTTGGCATGCTAGACTAGGGCACCCTCATTCTCGTGCTTTAGGATTGTTGTTACCTAGTATTTTTTTCCAAAAGTGATGAATGCGAAGCTTGTATTCTTGGCAAACATTGTAAATCGGTGTTTCCCAAATCTGTAACTATTTATGAAAAGTGTTTTGATTTGGTTCATTCTGATGTTTGGACATCTCCTTGTGCATTTAGAGAAAATCATAAGTATTTTGTCACATTCATTGATGAAAAATCGAAATATACTTGGCTAATTTTGCTTCCTTCCAAAGATAGGGTGCTTTAAGCTTTCATTAATTTTCAAAACTATGTCTCTAATCATTTCAATGCCAAGATCAATTTTTAGATCAGATACCAGAGGGGAGTACACTAGTCATACATTCGAACAAGATCTAGCCAAACTTGGGATCACTCACCAAACAAGTTGTCCGTACACACCACAACAAAATGGTGTGGTTGAAAGAAAGAATACACATTTGATGGAGTTTGCTAGATCATTGATGTTCAACAGCAATGTTCAAAAGAGGTTTTGGGGAGATGCAGTGGTGTCTGCATGTTACTTAATCAACCAAAGTCCCACGAAAATTCTCAATGATGTCTCTCCATTTGAGGTATTGAATAAAATTAAACCATCTATCAGTCACTTACGGGTGTGTGTGTTTTGTTTTGATTCCATGAGAACATAGAAACAAGCTTGAGGAAAAGAGTGTCAAAGCTATGTTTATTGGACATTTAATAACCCAGAAATGATACAAATGCTATGTACCAAAAACCAGGAAGGTAATTGTGTCTAGATATGTCAAGTTTGTAGAGAACAAGGGATTATATGATGAGAAAAACTGGAATAACCTGAAGGATCTATCTCATCCACCCTCGGACCGAGCTGCAAACCTTAGACTCTTTTTGGAGAGTTTTGGGATCAGCCAACCTAAAGAGAAAAATGAAACTATGGTGTTAGGCCCGCCTATGGAATCTCAAGTTTCTGAAAATGACATCCTCCTTGATCATGAGGGAGGCACACATGAAAAACCAGAATCGGAAGAAGGTGGTTCATCTAGTCATGATCAAGGAGGAGTGTCCCAAGTACATGTTCTTGATGAAGAACAAAGTGATCAGGTTCAAGAGGCAGAATAAGTACAAGAGCATGAAGAAGAACAACCTGTGAGAAGGAGCACAAGGGTTAAAAAGCCATCTAAGTGGGTAGACACAAGTGTCTACTACAACAACAAAGCTGTCGCCCATCCTATTCCAGTAGTTTGCTCTCTTGCTCATTTTCCTATTGAACATCAAGTCTTTATTGAAAAATTGGATCAGGAACAGATACCAAATAGGAGGCCATGAAACACAAAGTATGGTGAGATTCTGTAGGTGAAAAATTGGAAGCAATGGATCGCAACCAGATGTTTTATGAGGCAGACCTTCCTAAAAGGAAGAAAGATGTGAGATCGAAATTGTTGATGACCATTAAGTACACAAGTAATGGGGAGATAGAGCGACATAAGACAAGGCTGGTGGCAAGAGGTTTCACTCAAACATATGGAGAAGATTACTTGGATACATGACCCCGGTTTCCAAGCTTCACACGGTAAGGGTTACTCTTTCATTAGCTACTAATCTCGAATGAGATCTTTGGCAGATGGATGTGAAGAATGCATTCCTTCAAGGTGAACTAGAGGATGAAGTGTACATGAATCCTCCACCAGGTCTTGAAGATATGTTTTCACCAGGAAAAGTCCTTAGGCTCAGGAAAGCCATTTATGGGTTGAAACAGTCTCCTAAAGCTTGGTACTATAAGCTGAGCACAACTCTCAAAGATAGAGGTTTCAAGAGATCTGAGGAGGACCATACTCTTTTCACCCTACAAAGTCAAGAAGGTATAATTCTCGTGTATGTTGATGATATCATCATCTCAGGGAAGGAAAAGGTATATATTCAAGTAATTAAGGCATTTCTTAATTCTGTTTTTGATATAAACGACCTTGGTGAACTAAAGTATTTCTTAAGGATAGAAGTGTGTCACTCTAAAGAAGAAATCTTCTTATATCAACAAAAGTACACACTTGATTTATTGTCTGAAGCAAGAAAGCTTGGAGCAAAACTAGCCAAGACACCCCTTTAAGAAGGCTACAAAGTCATAAGAGAAGGGGAGACTGAAGATAAGCCATTTGAGGATGTTAAACAACATCGAAGGATGGTTGGTAAGCTGATCTACCTAACTATTACTCGGCCTGATATTTGTTTTGCTGTAAGTCAGGTAAACCATCATATGCAAGCTCCCAAGATACACCGCTGGAACATGGTGGACATAATACTCAAATATCTTAAAGGAGCTCCGGGTCAAGGTATCGGATGGGATGCAATGGAAGTTTAGATCTTGTATGCTATTGTGAGGCTGATTGGGTTGGAGATAGAGTGGACAGAAAGTCTACAACAGGATATTGCACATTCATTGGAGGAAACCTAGGCACTTGGAAGAGTAAGAAGTAGAAGGTGGTCTTTTGTTCAAGCGCTGAAGCTGAGTACATAGCCATGAGGAAGCTCACCAATGAGCTTATTTGGCTCAAAGCTCTTCTCAAGGATTTAGGAATTGAATCACCTGGCCCAGTCACTATGCATTGTGACAATCAAGCTGCCATTCACATTGCATCCAACCCGGTGTTTCATGAGAGAACCAAACACATCAAAGTGGACTGTCATAAAATGAGACAAATGGTGGAGAAAGGAGTGCTTCTACCGTGCTACACAAGGAGTTCAGATCAACTTGCTGAAATATTTACCAAAGCAGCTAGTACCAAAGTTTGTGAGTTCATTCATTCGAAGCCTGGACTCATAGACCTATCTCAGTCGTAAGTCCCTAGGCCATGAGGTTTATACTCTTTTTTCCTAAGTATGGTTTAATTTGTCCCAAGTGGTTTTTCCATACTCAAGTTTTTTAACGAGGTAGATTCTCATGGTTCCAAATTTAATTTCCGGTGTCCGTATGATCAAACTTGAAGGAAAGTATTAAAATATGTTTTACCTCGTGAACAATAACACGAGTGAACAGTAAATTATATATTTATTTGTAACTTATCTTCCCTAATAAGCCAAACTTTGTTTGGTTTCCCTAGAAAGTTAAACCTGCTTATAAATTCTTGTAGCCACCAGTGTAAAGATTAAGAGAATCAAGTTACTCTCTTTGTTCTCTCTTCTTTGTATTCTCTCTGCAATTTCTTTAGATTCTCTCTTGTGTTTTTTCATTATAATCTAAGTAATTCTCATATTCTAACATAACAGACCTATTGTTACAACGAAGAGGAAGTGGTAACTCCAAAAGATTGTAGTAAATTATTGATCCAAAGCAGTTAATGACCCATATATAAGACAAAGCGTGATATTCCGATTCACAGCTTGAGCAAGAAA